TGGCAAATAGAAGGGGAAGATATGGCGGCAGTGACAGATTTTACTTTCTTGGGCTCTATGATCACTGCCGATGGAGACAGCAGCCACGAAATTAAAAGAAACCTGCTTCTTGGGAGGAAAGTGATGAGAAACCTAGACAGCATCTTAAAAAGCAGAGACATCACCTTGCTGACAAAGGTAACCATAGTTAAAACTATGGTTTTTCCAGTAGCGATGTATGGAAGTGAGAGCTGGACCATAAAGAAGGCTGACCACCGAAGAATTGATGCTTTTGAATTGTGGTGCTAGAGGAGACTCTTGAGAGTCCCCTGGACTGCAAAGAGAACAAACCTAACTGTTCTGAAGGAAATCAACCCTGAGTGCTCACTGGAAGGACAGATCCTGAAGCTGAGGCTCCAATACTTTGGCCATCTCATGAGAAGAGAAGACTCCCTGGAAAAGACCCTGATGTTGGGAAAGTGTGAAGGCAAGAGGAGAAGGGGACGACAGGACAAGATAGCTGGACAGTGTCACCGAAGCTACCAACATGAATTTGACCCAATTCTGAGAGGCAGTGGAAGACAGGAGGGCCTGACGTGCTCTGGTCCATGGGGTCGTGAAGAGTCTGACATGACTGAACAACAACGAAAAAGATCAAATACAGCACTAAGAAACATAAGCAACATCAAAGCACATTCAAAGCAGTAAGGTACAACAATCCATTTAAAAAAACCCTTGGGAGCCATTGACTCAGGGAAATCTTGCCTAAAGATAAAAATCTTCATCTGCTTGCAGAATAACATTAGAAATGGGGCCAGTCTAGCCTTCTGTGGTGGGAGTTCCAAAGTCTAGGACAAAAAAGGCCCCCTCCTGTGTCCCCACCAAATAGGTGGTGGGACTGAGAGAGAGGCCTCTCCTGATTATCTTAACACCTGAGCCAGCTCATAAAGCAAGAGGCAGTCCTTGTGATAGCTTGGACCCAAGCCGTTTAGGGCAGTGGTTCTTAACGTGGGCGATAATGCCCCCCAGGGGGCGATTTCATTTTTCAGGGGGGCGGTAGAACGAAAAGGGGCAGAAACGGGGGTGTGTGGAAAGTCTGTGTGTCTTATGGAGCGAAGAAAACAGATTATATTTTCCTGTTTTCTTCTCCTAAAAAATTGGTGCGTCTTATGGAAAGGTGCGTCTTATGGAGCGAAAAATACGGTAATCAGCAGTCAGTGGAGCTGCTGTAAGAAGAGACTTATATAATCTCTGTGACCAGCCTGTGAAGGTTCATGTAGATGGGCTTCCCCTTTCTTGAATAAATCACCAGACTCATTGGAATCAAACGGATTAGTGTTGTTTATTAACTCAACCAACGGGGTATTAACATTAACATGATCTTTCCTCTGTATCTCTTGTTCAAGCAACAGCTCAGACAAGGGCAACCATAAGTTTTCTTCAAACAGATTAACAGTAGTAACATTCCAAGGTCCAGCAATCACCCGTTCTGTTTCAGTTGTCTCTAGTCGGGGGTCATCCTGGTTTAAAAGCAGGAGGACGTCTTCATCCCCCATCTGCCCCCATAATGGAGTTCCTTCTCCTGACGAGTCACCCCAAGGTCCAGTAAGCACCCCATCTTCCTTAACTCTTCAAGATGCCATGCCCGGTGTGCCTCGTTTTCTCTGGCAATAGCTTCCTTCTCCTCTCTAAGCTTCCTTCTCCATTCCCTTGTCTCAGACTCACCCCAATATGATGGTCTCTGGGGTAAACCTTTATGCCTCCTGTTCTCAGCTTCAGCCTTAGGCACGCGAACCTGTTTCCATTTCCCGGTCCATGGATCCTGCATCCAGACCATTTCCCAACCACGTGGAATATTGTCCCGGGCTGTATTTATTTCCCCTAACCCCCCTTCTTCCAGAGCCCGCCCTTTCTCTTTTCTCGCCATTTCGACCCTAGATGGAATAGCTACACTTAACCCTTTCAACTCTAAGTCTTGGGTATCCACTGCTCACAATATCCCTTTTTCCCTCATGTTCTTTTGCTCCAGCCCTTGGGTGTCTATCCCTTGGTCTTTCTTTCGGGGTGGGGTAGGAGGTGGGGTAGTTTGAGTCCCTTTGGATATCTTAAGGAGAGACGGCTCCACCAGACCTCTTGTCTTTGGTCTTTCTCCTCACATAGCCCCAGTTAACATTCTGGCTGCTGTGTTTTGGACCCGAAGTTTCCTGACAAACATCTGCTGGATTGGTGGAAGTTGAAGGCCAGTATGTCCCAGGAGCTTGATTAGCATTTAATGCAAAAGTAATCCCAGTGATTTTATATTTTATTGAGGTATGGATAACTGGAGATTCAAAGAAATTTGATCACCACCCCGTGGTGGCGCTGCGGGCTAAACCGCAGAAGCCTGTGCTGCAGGGTCAGAAGACTAAGCAGTCGTCAGATCGAATCCACACGACGGAGTGAGCACCTGTCGCTTGTCCCAGCTCCCGCCAACCTAGCGGTTCAAAAGCATGCAAATGCGAGTAGATAAATAGGGACCGCCTCGGTGGGAAGGTAACAGCATTCCGTGTCTAAGTGACCACGGAAGATTGTCTTCGGACAAAACGCTGGCTCTATGGCTTGGAAACAGGGATGAGCACTGCCCCCTAGAGTCAAACACGACTGGACAAAAATTGTCAAGGGGAACCTATACCTCTTTCTTCCTAGGAGGCTAATGAGTATCTATGGTGTGTAGCAACTGTTGTTTTACAGGCAGAGTTTGCCCAGCCTTCTGTTGAGGCAAGAGCATGGAAGCAGGCTTTGAAAGTTATCTTTTCTAATTGGTCTTTTGCTGTACTATGGGAAGATTCTTTCCTGGCAGAAAGTAATGTATAGTAAGCTAGAATCCCTGAGTTTATCATGAATTAATTATGAAGTTGGGTGAAGTAGAATCAAGATTATGTATAAGTAAGCAAATTTGCCAAATAGATCCGGCTAGCATTCAAATGAGAGCTTGACAAATATGTTCTCCCTCTTCTTTTGGTATCTTTGTTCCCAAGTCAATCCCATCATATTTCTTCCCTCTATCTCTTCCAGGTTACTGCCAAGTCTATTTATATGTAAGATTGAATATTGTCTCTTCAAGGGAAGTGCTTGGAAGATTGTCAGGCTGGTGTTGTCACAGGGACAAACTTTCTCGGAGAAGGTTTGTCCCTATGACAACACCAGCCTGGATACTTTTGCACATATATTGCCTTTTACCCCTTTTTATGCAACTGCGAGAGAGTGTTTCATTAAATGGTTGTTGTGGGTTTTTCGGGCTCTTTGGCCGTGTTCTGAAGGTTGTTCTTCCTAACGTTTCGGCAGTCTCTGTGGCCGGCATCTTCAGAGGACAGGAGTAGCACTCTGTGCTCTGGTGTTTCATTAAACTTTTATTTGATAACACCACTCTCCAAAGACCTTATTCCTAAACTACTAGAAGACAAAAATCCACTGTTTTTTGGAGCAATTGCTAGATGTATTGCTGCAATTCAGCCCTCCAAGGTAATTGAAGCACTTTATGGTGTCTAAATATTTCATTTTATGCTGCTCAACAATTTTTTTCATGAGCTTCTAAGGAGAGGAGAGGACAGGACGTTGTTAGTTACTGTAAATAAAGGCAGTTACTGTAAATAAAGGCAGATTGACACTTTGTTTTAAAAAATAACCAATATATAGTATATTATGCCTTTATCAGGATATACAACCTTTCTGTTTTCTTTTTGCTCTTCAGTATATATTTCCTTCTGTTTGCAGGGCCTACTGTCTTTCCTAAGTGCTCCTCTAATTGGGGCTCTGTCTGATGTTTGGGGCCGAAAATCCTTCCTGCTGCTAACAGTATTTTTTACATGTGCACCAATTCCACTAATGAAGATCAGCCCATGGTTAGTGTCCCTTTAAAAGTTTGCTTTTATATTTTGAGCATGTTTATCCAGTATATTTAAGTTTCATTATAAGTCTACTTTAAAATGTCAACCCCTCTTCAGTTGGTTTTGACTGATCTTGTATGAGCCTGGATTGGCCTTTGGCAGAGTGCCAGGTCACTCACCAATGACTGCATTGTGTATGACATGAAGAACTGTCCTTGGCTTCAATACTTGTTTTGCTGTCCCAACAGTACCAGAGCATAATAGAGCAACACTTGGTACACTTCAGACTTTTCTGAAATCTTGGAAGTACAAATCATTTGTAGAACTGTTATTTCTCTTCAGTTTCCTCAACAAGATTTTCTCATATAGCAACTTCAGATGCAAAATAGATTATCAGTGTAAATTCAGTGCCTCATTTGAAAGGCTGCTTCTTTTTAATTTTAATTAACTTTTTTTGCTGAAATACCAGTTTTTGAAATCCCTATCAGGTACAGACCCTCTGGCTGAAATCCTGTTGGCATAAATTTATGCCGTACATACTAGATAATGTCATCAGCTGACAGATATCCTTAATTTCATTCAAAAACTTTGTCTCCCCCCTTTCACATTCCAAGGTTCACTAGGATCCTTTTTTATCTTGGGATACCTTTGAGAGCCTCAGAATGTGGGGGAGGGAAGTCTTTACCACGAGCAGTCCCACCACCAGATTGGGCAAATTTCTGAACATTAAATGGTTTGATCACAGACTATTGAATTTCCATAGAATTTTGAGAACTCTTCTTGAATTATGTAGAGAAGGAATAGCCTTGTGGGGTTTTTGTTTGTTTGTTTGCTAATAAAGAAGTTTTATATTATAGAATGCTTGGTTGGATCTTTATGGTGCTGCTGTAGAAGGTGATGGTGTTGTTTATACACCTGGTGGAGGAACTAGACTTAAGATACAGTGGTGCCCCGCATAGCGAGGTTAATCCGTTCCGGATTAACCTTCGCTATGCGAAAACATCGCTGTACGGGGCAGGAAAAGCCTATTGGAACGCATTAAACTTAGTTTAATGCGTTCCAATAGGCGCCAAAACTTACCCTTCCAGCGATGTTTTCGCTGGTCCAGCGGCCATTTTGGAGCCGCTGATCAGCTGTTCGGCGGCTCCAAAATGGCCACTGGACGCCCCAATCGTCGCAAAGCAAGTGCGGCGATTGGGGCAGCTGCGTATAGCGATCCCCAAAAAGGGATCGCTATACGGATTCTTCGTTATACGGTGCGCTCGTTAAGCGAGGCACCACTGTATATGTCTAATGCCAGTGTTAGAGCAAGAATTATATCTCTGCTGTTTAACCACGATAAATTTGTAATATAATATACGGATTCTTCATTATACGGTGCGCTCGTTAAGCGAGGCACCACTGTATATGTCTAATGCCAGAGTTAGAGCAAGAATTATATCTCTGCTGTTTAACCACGATAAATTTGTAATATAACAGTTGGATTTTTGGTGGTTGCACATAAGGTTGGGAAAGCTGTTTTGAGATTGATTTGGAGAACTGTAAAGATATTATATTGGGCATAATTAAATTTGTATGTCTCTTTCTTAAAGAGTGAAGGGGAAATACATTGTTGTTTTCTGAGTTCTATGTTGTCTATAGAGCTGATAATAGTTGTGATGATGTATTTACAACTGTAATGACAGTGGTTGGAAAATGAATACTGTGCTTATACAACCTGTGAATGCAAAATTAAACAGGTGAATTTTTGAGCTGCTTATTAATCAACTATCTTTAATTACGCTTTTTTCTTGTTTTTGATCTTATGGTGTCTTTTCATCCTAGGTGGTACTTTGCTGTTATCTCTGTCTCTGGAGTTTTTGCAGTTACCTTTTCAGTGGTGTTTGCTTATGTAGCAGATATAACCCAAGAACATGAAAGAAGTATGGCTTATGGCTTGGTATGTGTATAGTTTTTCAGTACACTTTAAATGCAATAGATCTTAGTACTGTATCTAGAAGTGCTTTTTAAATGCCACCTGTAACACTTAGCAGCATGTGCACCTCTAGAACAATTGCATTACCTTCTTGGCAGAATAGAATGTGTTTTTCCATTCTTTTATTTTGCTGACTAAAAATTTAATCTTCATTTGCCTAAAATTAACAGTTTAGATTCAGAATCTAAACCATCCAATATACCTTAGTAGTATTGGTTGTGTTATTACATTATGAACGGGTTTTCTAGCTCTTTGATAAGCCTTGAACACCACTGCTTCCGAAAGATGGTCTAAAATATTGTAATAGCATTGTTCCCTTTTTAAACTCTTTATTTTAATGTTCTTTCCCACTAAATGTATATTTTTGTGACTATTGCCATTCATAGGTTTCAGCAACTTTTGCTGCAAGTTTGGTTACCAGCCCTGCCATTGGTGCCTACCTGGGTCGAGTGTATGGCGACAGTTTGGTGGTGGTCCTAGCTACAGCTATTGCATTGCTGGATATTTGTTTTATCCTTGTTGCCGTACCAGAGTCATTGCCAGAAAAGATGAGGCCTGCATCATGGGGAGCACCGATTTCTTGGGAACAAGCTGACCCATTTGCGGTAATATATTCAAATGTTTTGTACAAGCAGTGCCTTGGGTTTCCTTGAAACCATGGTGCTTTCATTAATGTGTATTGTTTGGTTTTGGTTGTTTTGTCAGTTTTTGACATACGGTGGTGTTTCAAAAACCAGCCTCTCTTCCCCTCCCCAACACACACACAAACATACGCACATAAAAGAATTAGAATCTTTCCACATATGGTTCTATACCTAGCCAGTTTCCAGTTCTCCGGTGATTTATTTACTTAGGCTGTATGTTCAGATCCAGCCTGGTTTGTCTTCAGGCAGGTCCTTTTTTTCTTCTGGATAGCAAACTGCCCGCCTGCCTGTCCCTCACAGACTGGTTTGGTTATAAACATGGCCTGTTGTCAGTCATAGGTTTTCTAGCTGCCTGCTCTACACTGGCTGGGAAAATGTCCCAGCCATTCCTTATTTCAGGATGCTTCTGCACAATGTTCCCTCTAAGGTGTGCGCCTGCACATGACTCTGCCCCCCTCCACACAGCCTTCCTCTTCCTCCGTGCACTGACAGCTGTCATTTTCAGCCCCTTTGGTTCCAGTTGCAACAGAACCCTGCATGGGGGAGATGCAGTCGCATGGGGGTGAAGTTGTGCATGCAAGGGGCAGGGCACTGAATTAGAGGGAACGTTCCTTCTTCCTTCTTAGGAGTTGGAAGAGTCTAGGGCAAGGCAGTTAAGTAGTATGGAGGGAAGTGTTTTTCTTCTGTAGTTAGGTTTTTGGTGTGGAAGTATGCAACTTTAAAATAAATAAGCATCTCAAAAGTCTATAGTACATTGCAATAGAGAAGTTAATTTTTGGTTGATGAGTGCACATGTCCTCTAACATACTTTCCCCTCCAAGGTTATTGGTAAGATGTTGGACATTCGTATTGAACTAAGCTACCCTGTCCCTGGATAGTTTAAATTGTCCATGGTTGCTGCTGAGCAATGGGTATTCTTTGTTAGTTTTTTCCCTATCCATGGGGTTGTGATTAAATCTATTTTTCTGCACGTCTGAGATCCCCCACATATGCACAATCTCTTCTCTTGTGTGTAGGTTGCTGCTGAGCCGCCACCACCTCCCTTGACCCTTGCCTGGCCTGGCTATCAAATCTGCCAGGCCGGTGATAACTGAATGGGCCACTGAAATAATAAATATTGTAGGTCTCTTCTTGAGGGCAAGGTTCCTCTTTTGCCCTTAAGGAAACACTCATTAGACCCATTAGAAAGAAACCAAGCTTGGTGGCGGACAACATTGCAATTATAGGTCCATCGCCAATGTTTCTTTTCTCAGCAAGGTAGTTAAGAGGGTGCTGGCCAACCAGCTTCAGGCTCTCTTGGATGAAACCGATGCCCTGGATCCGTTTCAGTCAGGGTTCAGGCCGTGCCACGGCACAGAAACTGCATTGGTTGCCCTGCAGGATGACCTACTAAGGGAGGCCAACGGGCAAAATGTCCTTGCTCGTCCTCCTTGATATCTCAGCTGCCTTTGATACCATCGGCCACGGTATCCTCCTGGGGCGGTTCTCCAAGTTGGGGATTGGTGGCCTTGCTCTCGGTTGGCTCAGGTCCTTCTTGGAGGGCTGTCCTCAGAGAGTGCAGCTTGGGGAGAATGTATCGGCCCCGTGGTCCCTCAGTTGTGGGGTTCTGCAGGGCTCAGTCATCTCCCCAATGCTGTTTAACATCTATATGAGGCTGTTGGGGGGGGGTCATCTGGGGATATGGAGCTTCGTGTCACCAGTACGCTGAAGACACCCAGCGCTACATCTCCTTTTTCCCATCTACAGTGGATGCCATTCCGTTCCTTGGGTGCTGCCTGGAGGCCATTCTGCAAGGGACTAAGGTTGAACCTGGACAAGATGGAGGTCCTGCGGGTGGGGGGCCCCAATGTCAGTGGTTTGGGGAACTCCCTCTCTTTTGGGGGGTGACTCTCACCACAAAGAATTTGGTTCGCAGTCTGGGGGTCCATCTTGACCCGGCGCTTTCCATGGAGACCCAAGTAGCATCCATGGTTCAGTCTGCCCATTTACATCTTCGGCAGATCGCCCAGCTGCATCCCTATCTAGACACGGAGGCACTCACCACGCTAGTCCAGTGCTTGTAGTCTCAAGAATAGACTACTGTAACGCTCTGTATGTGAGGCTTCCTTTGAGACTGATGCGGAAGCTTCAGATGGTCAAGAACATGGTGGCCAGGCTTTTAACAGGGGTGAAAAGATTTCACTGTATTTTCCCTCACCTTGGCTGCCTTACATTGGCTACCTATTCGCTTCTGCATTGATTTCATGGTGTTAACCATTATACATAAAGCTCTTAACGGTTTAGGACCTCGATACCTGGCAGAGCACCTTCTTCCGCCGAGTTCTACCCATATCACCCACTCCAGTCAGGCCGGGCGGCTGAGGGGCCTAATGCCAAGGGAGGCCCTGTGGGAAAAGAAACAGAAATCAGGCCTTCTCCGCAGTGGCCCCTCAGCTTTGGAACAACTTACCTGTTGAGATCCACCTGGCTCCCTCGCTGAGGGCCTTCAAGACTAACTTGAAGACATGGCTATACAGGCAGGCCTTCCCTGCAGCCATTACCTAGCCTATCTCCCCTTTTCTTCTTTTTTCTTTCCTCCTTCTTCCTCCTCCTCTTTTTTCCCCTCTTTCTTTTTTCCTTTCCCACCTTGGATTAATCTGGATTTTATCTTAGTTTATTTTTTATATTATATGTAAACTGCACAGAGTAGACCCATTCTAGATGGGTGTTATATAACTGTAATAAATAAATAAATATAGGTTGCTCCTTTCACTGCTTTATTGAGAAATATGAGGACATCTGTGTTGCTTTTAATATACATGATGACATTTGACAACTTGTTTCCCCTTTTCTAGTCTTTAAAGAAAGTTGGTCAAGATTCCATAGTGCTGCTGATCTGCATAACAGTCTTTCTTTCATACCTCCCTGAGGCAGGCCAATATTCCAGCTTCTTCTTGTACCTCAGACAAGTAAGCATTTGCCAAATTGTTTTGATTGTGGAGCATTAATTACAGAAATGAGAAATAAAGCCTAAGTAATTTGTTAGTAGATTCAGTTGCTAGTTCTTGAGTTGTAATTCCACTGAGATCTTTTAGTTTCAAGCAAATCTTTATGTGATTTGACCACACCTTATCATATTTAAAGTGAATTTATCAAATTTATTTTATCTAGATAATGAGATTCTCACCAGAAAGTGTTGCTGCATTTATAGCAGTTCTTGGGATTCTTTCCATTGTCGCACAGGTAAGTATAACTGACCATTGTGCACTTGTTGCTGATGTTGTCTTGGAAGAAAATGTTCAAGAAGAGAACCTACCTCACTATTATAGTGGTGCTCAATTTAAAAGAATTAAAACATTCAGGACCTTGAATTTTCCATGCATGTCTTTCTTAGACAGTGGTCTGTGGATTTTTCCCCCCTTAGCTGCAGTATGGTTTCTTGTTAACAAATTTCTTTTTAACTTCTACTGTATGTTCCCTGGGTAAATGGAATTAAATTGTTTGATCTGTACTCTGAATGAATCACGTGACTCTAATAAATGGTTGATAGATGTAGTGTATACTTCAGTGATCAGAAGTAAGATGCACAGATATAACAGTGTTGTTGAGTACAGTGGTGCCTCGCTTAATGAGGATAATTCGTTCCAGCGAAATCGCTGTAGAATGAAATCCTCGTTAAGCGAAATAAAAAAGCCCATTGAAACGCATTGAAAACCTTCAATGTGTTCCAATGGGCTGAAAACTCACCATCCAGCAAGGATCCTCCATAGGGGCGGCCATTTTCGCTGCCTGTAAAGCGAGGAATCTGCCCTAGAAAACAGCGGGGGGCCATTTTGTACACCCGGCGGCCATTTTGAAACCCAACGAGCTGTTTTTAGATCGTCTAATGTGAAAATCGGTTCCCGAAGCAGGGAACCGATCGTCGGGAAGCGAAAAAAGCCCATTTAAAACATTGTTTTGCAATCGCTTTTGCGATCGCAAAAACCTAATCGTCAAGCGATTTCCTTGTTAAGGCACCACTGTACTCAGTGTGGTATAGTTGTTGGAGTGACAGGACTAGGACTCAGAAAATCTGGGTCCAAATCCCTGCTCAATCATGGAAGCTGATATGGGGCTCGAACTTGAAAAACTGCTTCTTAAATATCTTACTTATTGTGAAAGACCTATTAGGGTCGTCGTGACTCAGTTCTTACTTGATGGTACATAATATGCCCAATAGAACTTCTCCAGAGTATGGCTGACATTCAACTGGAAATCTTTCAAGCAGTCTACTAAATAGCAGCTGTAATGTGACAAATATGGCAGTCTGCCAACAAGCTGCAAACTCAAAACTGGCCTGCAATGAATATAGTCTAAAGAACAGCCATTTGAACAGATTTCTGACAGTATTCTAAAACTGCATTATGTGTTTCCTCTCCCACATGCTTTGATTGCAAACTAATTTGTGATTTGTTAGGAGCTAACCAAATGTTTCTATAGCTTATGTTTGTTTATTTGATCTCGTGATGTATCCTATTTACTGGTGTTTTCCTTCCCTCAGACAATAGTTTTGAGTTTACTTATGAGGTCAATTGGAAATAAAAATACCATCCTGCTGGGTCTGGGATTTCAAATACTGCAGCTTGCGTGGTATGGTTTTGGCTCAGAACCATGGTAAGTAACTTCTCACTGTGTTGCTACCTGTTTTGATTTTGCTACAGGTCTGCCACAGGGCTCTTCTAAATGCAGCATTTGTTTTCCCTTTTCATAAATTATACCAGGATTTAAAGCTGCTTCAGCAGCCAGTCAGTACTGTGCATTCCCTTCTGACTTTTCTCAACTTTCTTCAGTATTCCTTTTTTGTTCTCGTGATTCTTTGGCACTAAAACGCCTGGGACGTGCCAAAGTGCTAATCTGCACCCCCAGTACAAGTTGGCACACAGAGGGGAAAAATAAGACTAATGACTTAAGAGGAATATAGTGTCGATGATGGGAATATCCTATAAAATCATCTGTCCTTAAGACAGAACAAAAGCTGCTTCTGCAAAAGCCCATACACTATATTTTAGGGAAATCTAAAATATTGCTCAATTGACCCCATTAATTCAGATACTTGAATACCATAACAGTCCTATGTTTTATGGTTGATGCCCATAAAACTGCCCAGAGACCTCCGGGTAGAGTGGGCAGCATAGAAATAAAATAAATAAATAAATAAAATAAAATAAATGGTTATAAAGAATTGGAAGCTACATAGTTTATACGGTAAAGCTTCATAGTGGCTGAAATCCTGTTGCTTTATTGTGCACATGGACAGACACAACACAACTTCCTTGTGTCCTTGTATGGCCTTTTCTGTGTCCTTCTATGGCTGTATAGCTGGCAGTGAATAAGTATTTCTTGAAGTTCTTCTGTGCTGTAATTCTCAAGTTGCACACTAAACAAGAGGGCACACACTCTTCCCCCCTCCAAGAATATGAAAGCTGACTTGTTAAGTGCCAGCTAAAAATGATTAAATGTTACAGTTTGCCTTCCTGTATGTATAACAAAGCAACAGGATTTCAGCACTGACAGGTGTCATGATGTCTGTGTCCAGAACTAGACATTTAATAATAGCATTAAGGATAAGAAGCATTTTGACAATAACAGACTTATTTGTTGAGACTTCTATTTAGCCCAGGCTGTTTTGTTCCTCATTTCTCCACTAACCATTCACACTTTATGCAAAAATAAAACTAACATTCTAATAATGGTAAATATTTAGAAATGCCAAATCAGTTAAAATTGAAATTGATTTAACATTTTGTGGAGCCTATTTGAAGTGATGTTATCCTGTCCAATTTATCCTCACCAGCTATAATTTTCATTTTCAGGATGATGTGGGCAGCAGGGGCTGTTGCAGCCATGTCTAGCATCACATTTCCTGCTGTTAGTGCACTTGTTTCACGGACTGCTGATGCTGATCAACAGGGTAGGTGCTTCATAAAATGCCTAAAATAAAAGGTTCTCATCTCTTCAGTCTTGGAAGTATTGCTGTATTGGGACCTGACAGGTCTCCCTACCCAGACAGTTCTAGATTATTAATTTCAGTGCAATTCACAAACAACAGTACTTTTCAAGAACACTGATTATTTGTGATAAGATCAAAATGCTTGTCAGCAGTCAGTGTATTTTATGGAGTTTACAAGTGAGGCAGGTATTTATTGAACATAATGCTATCTTTTTATCAAGACTCTTAAGATAGTAAAGCATTTGTATTAGCTGACTTATATGAAAACTGTTTTGTAGGCGTTGTTCAAGGAATGATAACAGGAATTAGAGGACTGTGTAATGGCTTGGGACCAGCACTTTATGGATTTATATTCTACATTTTCCATGTGGAATTGAATGAACTTCCAGTGACTCAGAATGACTTAGGACCCACACAACACCATTCACAGCAGGTACTGTTGAA